CTTTTGAACATTTAATCCTGTACGATCCCTCTTTCTCCTTCAAAATCCTCCTTATTTATTGTCCTCCCAAATCGCGTTGTTCCTTCATCCCTGAGACATCCTCTCAACCCTCTGCCTCTGCACTGAACATGTGATCCTAATGGGTGATTACAATCTCTACCTAAATTCCCTCGCCCCACCTCTGCCGTCACTGCCCTCCTCACCTCACTAAACCTCACCCCCTACATAAATTCCCTGACCCACAACCGTGGCCACCCCCTCGACCTCGTTATCACTCATGGCCTTGACAGCTCCAATATGTCCATCGCAGACAAGGCCATCTCAGACCATTTCCGCATCTCCGTCTCCTCCCACATCCCCTTCCTCTCTTCCCATCCCTCCACCATCTTTTTTCGACATTGGAAAAAGCTTCCATCTGAGTCCCTCACAAACCCCCTCTCTTCCTCAGATCTCTTCTCCCTCTGGAATTCCACCCAAAGCGATCCAGATGCAGCAATCAAGCTACTAAACGATCACCTTTCTACAACTCTCAACTTCCTTGCTCCCCTTAAATCCAGGTCTATCTCTAAATCTACCCATTCCCCTGGTGTAACAGTCATCTCCACTCCCACAACAACAACAACAACAAGATTTCATTTATAGAGAGCATTTCACATCGGGAGGACGTCCCAAGGCGCTGTACAGTTGGGTCAGGACCCGAGCAGGGGGGAAATGGTCAGGGTGAGGGGAGGGAAGGGAGGGAGCGAGGAGGGGGTAGAGAGTCGAGAGGGGAGCTGAAGGCACTGTCAAAGCGAAAGGTCTTGAGACCGGCCTTGAAGGAGGAAAGGGAGGAGGCGGCGAAGGCACTGGGGGATAGAGTTCCAGAACCTCGGGGCTGAGAGGCTGAAGGCCCGGTCACCGATGGTAGGGCGGTTGGGGCGGGGGATGTGGAGCAGACCAGAGCCAGAGGAACGGAGGGTACTTGCAGGTAGGTAGGGGGATAGTAGGTCAGAGAGGTAGGAGGGAGCAAGGCCGTGAATGGCCTTGTAGGTGAGGATGAGGATCTTGAATCGATCCTCTGGGGATGGGGAGCCAGTGGAGGCGAGCGAGGGGGGTGGGAGTGATGTGGTCGCGGTGTCTGGTGCGGGACAGTACACGAGCTGCAGAGTTCTAAATGACCTGCAGTGTGGAGGGAGGGCCGAGAAGGCCGGCGAGGAGAGAGTTCCCATAGTCCAGCCTTGAGGTCCAGCCTTGAGACCTAAAACCCGGACACTCTCGCGCAGACGGCACAAATCCGGCCTTACAATTCACCACCAGCTGTGGCTCGAGGATCTCCACAAACTGTCAACTTTCCCTCGCGCAGGGCCAAAGCTGCCTTTTACTCCAAAGTAGAGATAGAGTCGGGTATCATCCATATCGTGCACTATCTCCCCAGCATTATATTGAGTGTCAGCCCAAAGTGGGACTTGACCCCACAACGTTCTGACTCAAAGACAAGAGTTCGAGCAACTGAGCCAGGCTGACACCTAAGAGGATCCAAAATTGAACGGATGGATAACGTTTAAGATTTAAACTTAGTTCAGGAATATCGTGAAAATACATGAGGTTATAATCCAGGAATACTTTTCTGGATTTCACTCACAAAATATACAGTCAATTCACTTTACAGTATATTTTGCGAAGCGCTTTGAGACGTCTTGAAAGCAAGATAAGGCGCTATATCAAATGCATGCATTATTATTATAGGATTATTATTAGAAATAACATTTTTTTCTGAAATGCACTAATTTAATAGAGGACAAAAATATTCTACTTGGAGCCTGAGACTGTTTATGTTTCAGTTCCTCATTCAATAATAATAATAATATTCCTTTAATTTGAAATCATGCCCTTCACATCGGGAAGGTGTGAAATACTTCACAGGATTTACTATAAAGTGTAGTGACTGTGTGTTTTGTGGGCAAACATGGCAGCCAATTTGCACACAGCAAAGTTCTGCAAACAGCCATAAAGTGAATGAGTGATTACTGATCTGGGAGATTGTTGGTTAAGACACCGGGAGAAACTTCCTTTTTCCTTTCAAATAGCATCATGAGATCTTTAATGTCCAACTGAATAGAGCACAGATGGGGCCTTGGTTTAACGTCTCATCCGAAAGATGAAGCCTCTGACGGTGAGGAATTCTCCTCGGCTCTGCGCCTGAGTGTCAGGTTTGATTCTGGGGTGTGGGTGGTGGGGGGCGGGTGGTGGGTGGGAGAAACCTTAGGCAAGTTTCCTTACTCCACTCACAATAATGATTTATTCACTCAATCCTGACTGTTTGTGGGACGGACACTGCTCTGCTTAATTGGCTGCCGCACTTCACCCACAAAATATACAGTCAGTACAGTATGTTCTATGAAGCCCTTTGAGACATCTCACTGATGTCATGATGTCAGGCGCTATATCAAATGCAAGGATTATTATTATTATTATTAATAATGGTAATAAATTACAGATGAGCTGTGATCCAATACGATGGTGGCTCGATGGGCTGAATGATCTAATCCTGTTCCTATATTCTTATGTTTGCGTGACTGTTTGAATGCACATGGGCACGAGTCAATAGGCATTAGCAGGTTCCTTTTTTAGACTCAGCAGATGAAGAAACCCATTGACCTTTCTTAAGAGGACTAAAATCAGACTGGGAGTTGCGCAAATTCATGCCACCTACACATAGAAATTTCCCAGGGTCTGGAATGGAATGCACACTCTCTTTCTCGGATGGACACTGCTTGCTGAGAGTATTAGGTACAGTTTAGCGAAAGCCAATGCTTGGAGCATCTTGAGCATACATTGGGGATGTCAGCTAAAACCGCAGAGCTTGGACTACTGTGGATCCATCTGGCTCAGGAACTACTACACTTTACACATAGTGCTATCGGCTGAGAAGTGCTTTTCACTTCCACTGAAAAGTCATTTCAATGACTCCGACCTTCTGACGAGGAAACCCTAGCGTCTTGTGAGAGTGGAAACTTCCTCTTTTTTTTCCTGGGCTGAGTTTGACCGTGATCTTTAGACGGGGGCTGCGGCTGAAATTACTGTGGCTTATGGGAATGTGCCAAAAAGAAAAAGTGAAAGAAGTTCAATGTCAGAACAATAACAACTGAGCATAAGATGCCATGTTAACCAACACGCAGGGTCACAAGACAGAGCCTTACCAAAGGGGAAATTGATAAGCCATCTAGGAATTTTAGTTGACTCATTAACTCACAGTGCAATAAAAAGGGTTATGTTTCCAAACAACTTGAGTTTAGATCCCCAGACATCTTTGAGATAGTGCAGAGGAGAGCAATGAGGCTGATCCCAGTGTTAGAGGAATGAGCTGTGAGTAGTGATTACACAAGCTCAGGCTCTTCAGTCCTGAGAGAAGATGCTCAGAGAGGACCTTATAGAGGTGTATAACGTGGTAAATGGGATTGAGAAAGTAAAGCCACATCAATACTTTAGGATGTTTCAAGACAGTAGGACAAGAGGACACAGGTTTAGTGGACAGACACCAGGAAGTCTTTCCTTACGCAGAGAGTAATTAATGACTGGAACAGGGATGCCAAGGAAGTGGGGAGGGGGGTGGGAGGAGGTGAAGGATGAGTCCCAGGACTAAAAAGCAGCTGTGATGGGGGGATGAGATCTACATCCTGAATTGGGTGGGATTCCACCACGTTCAGTGGTTGTCAACGATTCAACACAATAATAGGCAGTGACACCGAAGAGTGTGAGCACCAGATATTTTTATTCAGATTGTCTACATTACAAACACATTTCTAAAGAATGTTTTTGATCTTTTGTGTATAAAAATAATCTTAATTCATTTTTTAAAATAAATAAATATTAATATATTAATAACAATAATAATGACAACAACTTGCATTTACACAGCACTCTTAACACAGGAGAACGCCTCAGAACGCTTCGCAGTGATGGAGTCGGATGCCAAGCATGGGAGGAGAGGGAGAGGGAGAGCTTCAAGACAAATAGAGAGGGGGAAAGGGCAGGGTTCTGCAGGTTAGGGTTCCAGTGACTGGAGACTGGGTCGGCGATGGTACTTGGTTTAGCAGGAGGTGTAATAACAAACAGTACTTTAAATGAATAGCATAGCAGTGTGAAGCGCTTTGAGACGTCCCCCAGAAGGGAAATATGCTGGAAAAAAAGTAAATCCGAGTTGTACAATCAACTGCTCGAGGAGCAGAGCTGCGTTCTGTCTACAGAACAATTAACACTGTCTTTGAATCTCATTATAAGACTTAAAACTTGCAATAAAACATGTCCTCAATAATAATAATAATAATAATAGAACTGAGTTTCAGCTCTTAGCCAATACGTGCAATTTTTGTTGATATGGACTCAGCACCATTCACCCACACCTGAAACTTTAAAGCTGGCAGAGTTTTGGGAAAATACTTAATTTTGGGAAGCCGGTTTGAGACAAAATTGAGACTGAATTAAAATTTTTCCAAAACCATTATCAATTTCTGCGTAAATCAATCTTAAGGGTACATGGGGCGGGGAGTGGGGGGGGGAGTAGGGGGCAGTTAAATGGGACTGAAAGGATTGCTCTTAAAAGAAACTTACATACAGGATGGGTGGAATGGCCTTTTTTCGGTGCTGTTCCTCTCTATGGATCTATAGTTTAAAGGATATGGGAATTTTTTGTGCCCTCGGAAGATTTTATCTTGAGCCTGAGACAAGTGACTGGGAAGAACGAATAGGAACATCTTCAGTTCAGCTCCATGGATTTGGGTCAATGACCAGGGCAACGAGAAGGGAAGTTTCAAACAAGAATTCAAGGTTGGGAGATATTGGTGACAGTTTAAATATTTAGCTTTTAAAAGCGAACTTCAACATTCACCGGTTTACGTGAATACATTTAAAAGACCATTTTGATCAGAAATAAAATCAGCAGAATCTGGTTCGTCGGAAATCACCCCGAACACCCCATCCCCTCCCCCCGCTCGCCCACCCCCACCCACGGCACTGCTCGTTTACTTCTCACTGATGTAACGCAAAGACCAGAAAATGCGATTTGAGAACTCTTGCAGGTGTTTCAGCACAAAGTAAACACTGACTCGTTCCTGGAAATGCCCCTGATAGCTGGGCAATGTGTAACCAGACTGCTCCGATCCGTAAGGAGCTTCGATAGTGTAGGAAAATTTCATCTGTTTTTAAAAGAAAATCAAATTTCTATCTTACCGAGCGATGAGGATTTATATACACCAAATACAAAAACACGCCTAAAGTACAATTCTCCAAAGGGCTGTGTTAATCTGTTGCACGTTTCACAATGAAAGGGATTTTATTGATGCATAAGGCTTCAATTCTCTCTTATTGCTTTGATAAATAATAACAATCCTTACATTTGATAGAGCGCCTTAAAGTGTTGCACAGGAATCACTGTAAAGTGAAGTGACTGTGTGTGTTTTGTGGGCGGATGCAACAGCCAATTTGCACACAATGGTGTCTCACAAACAGGCATGAGTGAATGACCATGACTATTTGAGAGATTATTAGCCAGGACACCAAGAGAAACTCTTTTCCAATTGTGCTGTGAGATCATTAACACCCACATGAACTGGTACAGACAGGACCTCTGCTTAATCTCTCATCTGAAAGACCCCTCTCCCACTCCCCACCCTCAGCATTGGAGGGTCAGGCTAGCAGTGCTTGAACAAAATCAGAAATCTCTGACTCAGAGGCGAGAGAAGCAACTGAATGAGCCGATTGAAGGACAAAGTACAACACTCACCAGTTCCTGAAGATTCGTTCTTAAGTTAGTAATGTCCAAGTGCAGCTCCTCCAGTCGCTGCAGATGGTTTCCGAGGTGTTTCACTATCACCGGGGATCTCAGGAGGCTGTCGTATTGCTGGAGCCCGGAGAGGATGTCATTGAGGCACATTTCCTGCAACCAACAGAAATGTGGTTGTCCTAACTGTTTGCAGGAGATCTCTTCTCCATCAGTCGTCTGCACCATCTCAACCCATCCCAACCTATCCTAACTCAACTCAACACATCCCAACCTATCCTAATCCAACCCAAGCCAAGCCAACCCGAAGCCCGTCTGTTCCAGGATTCTGTCCACGGTAGTGCCCCCATTGGCAGCTCAGGTGCTGGTGCAAAGTGATTCTGGCGCTGGGCACTGCTCACCCTCTCCTCCCCTATAAACAGGTCTCGGTCACTGCTGATGGCTGCGAATTCCTCACGGGTTTGACACGAAGATCATATTGGAGGTTGACTCAGTGGCTGTGACTCTGTCAGTCTCTCAGCTTCACTTTGGCAGCAGAGCAGCCTGAGAGTTGTGTTTTAGTCAATTGGAGGGTGGGACGAGGGGAATGGACTCCCAAGCGGTTATGCTGTCAGTTCTGAAAGAATCACCTCAGTCCATAATGACTGTTTCAACCTATTCACCCATATTAACACTCGAGTCCTTAACATTCAGCAGCCAGACCACGATAACCAAACCCCCACATTAGATAGAGCATCTAGCACCTCATCAAAGCGCTTCACAGGATTTCACTGTAAATTGTAGTGACTGTGTATTTCTAGGTGAATCGGCAGCCAATTTGTGCACCACAACATTCTGCAAAACAGTCATGAAGTGAGCAACCAATTTTATTTGGGGGATTGTTGGCCATGACAAGAGGAAATCTTCCTTCACTTTTTGAGTAGTGGCACTGGACATTTAATGTCCATCTGAACAGACAGGCAGGACCTCGGTTTAACATGTCATCTGATATATGGCAGTATGACACTGTGCCCCCACACACTCAGCGCTATAGGTTAAATTGGAGTGTCAGCTTATGCTGTGAACTCAAAAGTCCCTGATGTGAGGGAGAGAGTGAGTGACTGAGCCAGATTGACACGTCATTCAAGGCTTTAATTGAAAACAAACCCAATTGATCTCTTGGTCCGCCACCCTGTCAGTGAAATAGTCTCACTCACCAACTGGAACTCTGACATGAGACACGTCCGTGTCTGACCTGGACGGATGGACAGGAACTCGCTTTGGTAACCCAGCTTATTGACGTTCAGGCGAGGAGGGGCCAATATCTGAGGTAGAGGAAGAAGAGTAGGTCAGTCGGCTCATCTGCATTCAACTGATCATTCATTCCCTCAGCTCAATATTCTCAACATCTTCCACATAAAGGCTGAATTTAAGAATTCCTGAAAGCTTCATACAATATTCAAACAATATTCTTAACGATAAGACCATGAGCCAATGTGAGCCTCTTAACATTCACCTCTCCAGCACACACCATTCAATTGATTCAGAACATCAGAGAACCTGAAAGATATACCCTCTACCTCTGGGAGGTGGGGGGCGGGGAAGGGATTTGGGGCAGGAAGCAGGTGGCAGAAGGTACAAGAATGCTGAGGCTATTTGCAGAGGGTCAACACTGATTGAAAAGGTTGCTGGGAAGGTAACTGAGGCTGGAAAGTGGACTTTAAAAAGCAGGTTGATGCTGTGATGAAATTCTGGTAGGATGAGGATCATGGGCCAGAGGGACTTTTTCATCGAAATTGATCTTGTGATTTCTCTAAGATCATCTGCCAGAACTGAACAGTTATTTACTGAACCCAAGACAATGTGAATACTTCCAAACACAGCAGCCCAAGTCTTTCATTTGTCTTTAGTCAGCCAGGCATCTGATATGCAGAAACCCATTGCCATGATCAGCTGGCGACCCATGGAACCCCAACACCAAAGTCAATTGCTGAGATTTCCATACTTACATGTGCTTCTTCTAGCTCACGGACAATTTCCTGGATTTTTGACACGATACCCAAGTTGTTCTTCAGTCCTTTGCGGAATATCTCTGGGACTGGGTCTCCGGAATTCTCCGGCAGAAGGGGAATAGATGAAAGACTTCCAATCGTGGCAGCCAAGAGAGTCCAAAGACACAGAGCTGGGGAATAACAAAGGGTGTGACATTAGTTGGGCTTTGAGCATCAGTCAAAGAAGTCAGGGTCAGACCATCAGCTTGATACAGAGAGTGTGTGTGTGAGAGAGAGAGAGAGAGAAATAGAGAGAAACCGAGAGAGCGAGAGATCATAGAAAGAATGTAGAGAGAAATAGAGAAAGAGAGAATTATTATCACTTGAAGAATGGAGATAAATAGGCTGCTTCCACTTGTTGGTGTGTCCACAATATATCCTGTTATACTACTGTTTGAGGGACGCCGCTGTGCGCAATCGACTGCCCCGTTTTGCCCACAAAATATACAATCAATTTGCTTTACAGTGTATTCTGTAAAGCGCTTTGAGACATCTCAAAGACGTGATAAGGCTCTATATCAAATGCAAGGATTATTATTATCCTCTCTCTCCCTCTCTCTCTCTCCTTCTCTCCTTCTCTGTCCCTCTCTATCTATCTGTAATATCTATCCCCTTTTTTCTGCACCCTCAATGGAGCCTGTGAACCAGCTCAGTATAAAAAAAAACGGGTCAAAATGAACAAAATCTGTGATTTTGCTAGATAGAAGCTGCTGCTCGCTAAAAGTACATCAAAAACCTCAAAAAAGTATTCGAAGAGCCCATTCTTACCAATCAGAGAGTTCATCTTTGCTGCTTTGGTAAATAGCCGTGGGGGTGCTGTGCTGTGCCGTGTACCGAGGTCCTGTGGTTTACACACTCGCACTGTATTATTTATATACACACCCCAGCAAGGAACTGTGATTTGACTGATTTACGAGTTACCCTCCCAAAATTTTCTCTCGTATCAAAAAAAATTCTAATGTTACTTCATCACGAAAATCTGGATTTCCGATTGTCAAACCGTGAAATGGAACTAATTACAGATGAATAATTCTACGTAATTTACACCCCACCTCAGGGTGACATCTCGAAGCTCTTGACACTACCCAAGCCCGGGAAAGATGAGGGGGTGGGGGGTGGGTGGGGGGGGGGGGCGGGGGTTTGGGGGGGGAAGTTGGTTCGTGAGATCGTCAGAGTTGACGTTCTAGGGAACGAAGGTACAATATTTTCTCCGCCGATGGTGGGGAAAATAGTGAACAATAATATAGAAGTAATAATCCTTACATGTAATCCACTTTATAATATATTCCGCGAAACGCCTTTGAGATCAATAATGTGGATGATTAATAAGGATTATTATCAAAATAATAATAAATAATAATCCTCGCATTTGATATGGCGCCTTGTCACGTCTTCGAGACGCCTCAAAGCGCTTGACGCAGTATACTGTAAAGTGAATTGCAGCCAATTGCGCACAGCAGTGTCCCACAAACAGTTGTGGATTGAGGGACCAATTTATTTATTTCATTATTAATTATTTATGAATTATTATTTATTTCATTATTAATTAATTAAGGAATCATAACCCCCCCCCCACGTAAAAAAGAACTGCTAATCACCCGGGTTTCTCTTTACTGCTAGGTAAACGGAGGCGTGTGGAGTAAGGAAATTTGCTTAAACGAGGCAAGTGAGCAGGAGTTTGGCTTTCATCAGACGGAGAATGTCCATATCTTGTCAACGTTTAATGAAAGAAAGTTATAGCATAGATGTTTCTCCCGCGTCTCATGCTGAGTTGTGTTGCCCACCAGGAAGCCGGCAAGGAGTTCCTCGTACCTGGAAATCACTCAATCAGGGCTCAAAACTTCATCTGTCAGATGTCAATTGACCAACTAGTGGCAATCCTCCTGGAGAGGATGGAGCATCTCTGGAGATGAGCTGTGTCCAAGGAAACACACGCTCAGCAATGGAATGTCGGAATTTAGCCAAATAATAATAATAATAATCCTTGCGTTTGATACAGCGTCTGATCACGGCTTCGAGACGTCTCAAAGCGCTTCACAGAATGCACTGTAAAGTGAATTGACTATATTTTGTGGGCGAAACGTGGCAGCCAATTGCGCACAGCAGCGTCCCACATACAGCCGCGGATTGAGTGACCAAATTATTATTATTATAAATCACAGCACGCAGATACGGACGCAACAGAATTAAATTTACACGGCGCTTTTCACGTTGGGAGGACGTCCCAAGGCTCTGGACAGTCAGGGATTTGGATCTGAGCCAAGGAAGGTAATTGGAGTTAAGGTACAGATCAGCCATGATCTAATAGAATGGACCACTCCTGTTACTATGTTCCTGTCCTCTGTGATGGTCTCTAATCCGGTTCCTGAGCCAGGACACAGCTGACGTCAACGCAGCCCAGCCTGGCTCATTGGTAGGACTTGAAGGGTAATGATCAGTGGAGCCACGGATTATTCCTATTCAGTTGCAAGCCAAAACCCGAGTGAAGGCAGGGAACAACATCAACAAATTGCATTTATAGAGTGCCTTTCACATCGGGAGGACGTCCTAAGGCGCTGGACAGTGAAGAGTTTGCACTGGGGGATGGAATCAAGAGGGCTGGAGGACAGGGGGATGGAGGTGAGAGGATGACCAAAAGTGAGGTCAAAGAGGAAGGTCTTGAGATGGGCCTTGAAGGAGGTAAGGGAAGGGTGAGATGAAGTTTACTCCGGGATGGAGTTCTAGAGGTTGTGTCAGGAAGGCTGAAGGCCTGACCGCCAATGGTGGGATGGGCAGGTGGGGAACATGAAGCTGCAGTATCCTCTGAGCAGAGGGAACAGACAAGTTGCTAAAGATTTAGCAAGTCACAGAGATAGAGAGGGGCATAGCTGTGGAGGGTTTTGAAGGTGAGGACAAGGATTTTAAACCCCTCTATAACCTTACAAAGTGTTGTCCCATTTCTAACCTACCCTTCCCTGCCAAAGCTCTGGGACATGTTTCACTCACTAGCTAGCTTCATTCACACACTCCCTCCTCGAGCCCTCCAGTCTGGTTTCCACCCTCCCCCACAGCGCAGTGATGGCGCTTGTCAAATTCACAAACGATGTCCTCTCTTTTTGTGACCAGACCAAACATCCACAGACATGGGGTAAACTTCCACATGTATGGGTATGACACACAAATCTACTTTGCCTCCTCCAGCTGCGACTCCAGGTCCGCCGAAGCTCTCTCTGTTGTCTGGCAGACATCAGGGCCTGGATAAGTGCAAACTTCCTGCAGCTCAATGTTAACAAGATGAAGCTATACTCCTTGGCTCTCGTCAATGTCTTCTGTCCTGAGGCTCTGACCTCCTCAACCTCTCCCCGGTCTATACCTCAGACTCACTGAACCAGTACTCAACCTAGGTGTCAGGTTCGATCCACAGCCTACCACACATCTGGTCCCTAACCATGACCGCCTTGCTCTATCTCCAACATATTGCCTGCCTCCGAGTGTACACTCGTCTATGCATCATCACCTCCTGACTGGACTCCTCAAATGCCTTCTTTGCCGGACTTCCCATCTCCACCATGCACAGGATCAAACTGATCCAAAACTCCACCACCCACATACTCATGGTCATGTGGGGTAGAAAGGATAGTTGAGGGTCAAACAAGATGCCAAGGTGCCAGACTGGCTCAGTGAGGTGGAGTGTGCAACCATGGATGGTGTGAAGTCCTGTAGCTCAGTGGTTAGAGCGAGAGACCTGGGTACTATTCCTGGCAGAGTGAAATGTTGGGCAAGTTTCCTTATTCCAAACACCTCTGTTTACCTTGCAGTAAGTAGGAACCTGGTTGTTAGTCGGTTGGCAGATCGCTTTTCCGGGGATAATAATCCCTCAAGAAAAAAACCCAATAATAATTTAGTTATTCAATCCGCGACTGTTTGTGGGACACTGCTGTGCGCAATTGGCTGCCACATTTTGCCCACAAATATAAAGTCAATTCACTTTACAATATTTTCTGTGAAGCGCTTTGAGACGTCTCGAAGATGCAAGGATTGTCATTGCCTGAGATCTGGACGCACTGATGGGAGCCAATCAGGAGAGCCTCGGTCTTGTTGACATTCAACTGGAGAAAGTTAGCTCTCATCTAGGATTTGATGTCTGACAGACAATCGGTCAGGACAGCAGTGGTCCACTATGCAGTCGAGGGTGGAAGCAGAGAGATAGAGTTGTGTATCATCCCATTCCTCTTTGGCATCGAAGATCGCCCCCATGCCAAAGAGGAGAGAACCAAGGACAGAGCCATGAAGAGCATCCCATGTGATGGTGCGAGGGCTGGAGGAGAAGCCGTTAGCGGATACATAGTGGAGACTATGGGAAAGGTAAGAGTGAAAGCAGACAAGGGCAGAGGCATGAAGCCGGAACTGAGAGGAGAGGCGGTGCAGAAGAATAATGTGGTCAAGTGTGTCAAAGACAGCAGAGATATCGAAATGGAACAGCTGGACAGACAGACAGACAGCTGGACATACAGACAAGTAGACAGCAGGGCAAGTGCCTTGGATCTCCCTGTTACTGAACATTCTGTGGCCGGTAAACACCCAGTCCTATGCCGGTCACGTCGCCGTTGCTGGAAACTGAGTGGAGCAAATGGAAAAGGAAGAAAATGGCCTGACTTCTGCTTGTGCCTCGAGACTGTCCAATTATTTAATGTTTAAACCCGCTTGCTTCTCCAGCACATATCCATCTGTCTGTCTGATTGTCTGTCTGTCTGTCTGCCTGCCTGCCATAGTCTCGGTTTAACATGTCATCTGATATATGGCAGTATGACACTGTGCCCCCACACACTCAGCGCTATAGGTTAAATTGGAGTGTCAGCTTATGCTGTGAACTCAAAAGTCCCTGATGTGAGGGAGAGAGTGAGTGACTGAGCCAGATTGACACGTCATTCAAGGCTTTAATTGAAAACAAACCCAATTGATCTCTTGGTCCGCCACCCTGTCAGTGAAATAGTCTCACTCACCAACTGGAACTCTGACATGAGACACGTCCGTGTCTGACCTGGACGGATGGACAGGAACTCGCTTTGGTAACCCAGCTTATTGACGTTCAGGCGAGGAGGGGCCAATATCTGAGGTAGAGGAAGAAGAGTAGGTCAGTCGGCTCATCTGCATTCAACTGATCATTCATTCCCTCAGCTCAATATTCTCAACATCTTCCACATAAAGGCTGAATTTAAGAATTCCTGAAAGCTTCATACAATATTCAAACAATATTCTTAACGATAAGACCATGAGCCAATGTGAGCCTCTTAACATTCACCTCTCCAGCACACACCATTCAATTGATTCAGAACATCAGAGAACCTGAAAGATATACCCTCTACCTCTGGGAGGTGGGGGGCGGGGAAGGGATTTGGGGCAGGAAGCAGGTGGCAGAAGGTACAAGAATGCTGAGGCTATTTGCAGAGGGTCAACACTGATTGAAAAGGTTGCTGGGAAGGTAACTGAGGCTGGAAAGTGGACTTTAAAAAGCAGGTTGATGCTGTGATGAAATTCTGGTAGGATGAGGATCATGGGCCAGAGGGACTTTTTCATCGAAATTGATCTTGTGATTTCTCTAAGATCATCTGCCAGAACTGAACAGTTATTTACTGAACCAAGACAATGTGAATACTTCCAAACACAGCCAGCCCAAGTCTTTCATTTGTCTTTAGTCAGCCAGGCATCTGATATGCAGAAACCCATTGCCATGATCAGCTGGCGACCCATGGAACCCCAACACCAAAGTCAATTGCTGAGATTTCCATACTTACATGTGCTTCTTCTAGCTCACGGACAATTTCCTGGATTTTTGACACGATACCCAAGTTGTTCTTCAGTCCTTTGCGGAATATCTCTGGGACTGGGTCTCCGGAATTCTCCGGCAGAAGGGGAATAGATGAAAGACTTCCAATCGTGGCAGCCAAGAGAGTCCAAAGACACAGAGCTGGGGAATAACAAAGGGTGTGACATTAGTTGGGCTTTGAGCATCAGTCAAAGAAGTCAGGGTCAGACCATCAGCTTGATACAGAGAGTGTGTGTGTGAGAGAGAGAGAGAGAGAGAGAGAGAAATAGAGAGAAACCGAGAGAGCGAGAGATCATAGAAAGAATGTAGAGAGAAATAGAGAAAGAGAGAATTATTATCATTTGAAGAATGGAGATAAATAGGCTGCTTCCACTTGTTGGTGTGTCCACAATATATCCTGTTATACTACTGTTTGAGGGACGCCGCTGTGCGCAATCGACTGCCCCGTTTTGCCCACAAAATATACAATCAATTTGCTTTACAGTGTATTCTGTAAAGCGCTTTGAGACATCTCAAAGACGTGATAAGGCTCTATATCAAATGCAAGGATTATTATTATCCTCTCTCTCCCTCTCTCTCTCTCCTTCTCTCCTTCTCTGTCCCTCTCTATCTATCTGTAATATCTATCCCCTTTTTTCTGCACCCTCAATGGAGCCTGTGAACCAGCTCAGTATAAAAAAAAACGGGTCAAAATGAACAAAATCTGTGATTTTGCTAGATAGAAGCTGCTGCTCGCTAAAAGTACATCAAAAACCTCAAAAAAGTATTCGAAGAGCCCATTCTTACCAATCAGAGAGTTCATCTTTGCTGCTTTGGTAAATAGCCGTGGGGGTGCTGTGCTGTGCCGTGTACCGAGGTCCTGTGGTTTACACACTCGCACTGTATTATTTATATACACACCCCAGCAAGGAACTGTGATTTGACTGATTTACGAGTTACCCTCCCAAAATTTTCTCTCGTATCAAAAAAAATTCTAATGTTACTTCATCACGAAAATCTGGATTTCCGATTGTCAAACCGTGAAATGGAACTAATTACAGATGAATAATTCTACGTAATTTACACCCCACCTCAGGGTGACATCTCGAAGCTCTTGACACTACCCAAGCCCGGGAAAGATGAGGGGGTGGGGGTGGGTGGGGGGGGGGGGGGGTTTGGGGGGGAAGTTGGTTCGTGAGATCGTCAGAGTTGACGTTCTAGGGAACGAAGGTACAATATTTTCTCCGCCGATGGTGGGGAAAATAGTGAACAATAATATAGAAGTAATAATCCTTACATGTAATCCACTTTATAATATATTCCGCGAAACGCCTTTGAGATCAATAATGTGGATGATTAATAAGGATTATTATCAAAATAATAATAAATAATAATCCTCGCATTTGATATGGCGCCTTGTCACGTCTTCGAGACGCCTCAAAGCGCTTGACGCAGTATACTGTAAAGTGAATTGCAGCCAATTGCGCACAGCAGTGTCCCACGAACAGTTGTGGATTGAGGGACCAATTTATTTATTTCATTATTAATTATTTATGAATTATTATTTATTTCATTATTAATTAATTAAGGAATCATAACCCCCCCCCACGTAAAAAAGAACTGCTAATCACCCGGGTTTCTCTTTACTGCTAGGTAAACGGAGGCGTGTGGAGTAAGGAAATTTGCTTAAACGAGGCAAGTGAGCAGGAGTTTGGCTTTCATCAGACGGAGAATGTCCATATCTTGTCAACGTTTAATGAAAGAAAGTTATAGCATAGATGTTTCTCCCGCGTCTCATGCTGAGTTGTGTTGCCCACCAGGAAGCCGGCAAGGAGTTCCTCGTACCTGGAAATCACTCAATCAGGGCTCAAAACTTCATCTGTCAGATGTCAATTGACCAACTAGTGGCAATCCTCCTGGAGAGGATGGAGCATCTCTGGAGATGAGCTGTGTCCAAGGAAACACACGCTCAGCAATGGAATGTCGGAATTTAGCCAAATAATAATAATAATAATCCTTGCGTTTGATACAGCGTCTGATCACGGCTTCGAGACGTCTCAAAGCGCTTCACAGAATGCACTGTAAAGTGAATTGACTATATTTTGTGGGCGAAACGTGGCAGCCAATTGCGCACAGCAGCGTCCCACATACAGCCGCGGATTGAGTGACCAAATTATTATTATTATAAATCACAGCACGCAGATACGGACGCAACAGAATTAAATTTACACGGCGCTTTTCACGTTGGGAGGACGTCCCAAGGCTCTGGACAGTCAGGGATTTGGATCTGAGCCAAGGAAGGTAATTGGAGTTAAGGTACAGATCAGCCATGATCTAATAGAATGGACCACTCCTGTTACTATGTTCCTGTCCTCTGTGATGGTCTCTAATCCGGTTCCTGAGCCAGGACACAGCTGACGTCAACGCAGCCCAGCCTGGCTCATTGGTAGGACTTGAAGGGTAATGATCAGTGGAGCCACGGATTATTCCTATTCAGTTGCAAGCCAAAACCCGAGTGAAGGCAGGGAACAACATCAACAAATTGCATTTATAGAGTGCCTTTCACATCGGGAGGACGTCCTAAGGCGCTGGACAGTGAAGAGTTTGCACTGGGGGATGGAATCAAGAGGGCTGGAGGACAGGGGGATGGAGGTGAGAGGATGACCAAAAGTGAGGTCAAAGAGGAAGGTCTTGAGATGGGCCTTGAAGGAGGTAAGGGAAGGGTGAGATGAAGTTTACTCCGGGATGGAGTTCTAGAGGTTGTGTCAGGAAGGCTGAAGGCCTGACCGCCAATGGTGGGATGGGCAGGTGGGGAACATGAAGCTGCAGTATCCTCTGAGCAGAGGGAACAGACAAGTTGCTAAAGATTTAGCAAGTCACAGAGATAGAGAGGGGCATAGCTGTGGAGGGTTTTGAAGGTGAGGACAAGGATTTTAAACCCCTCTATAACCTTACAAAGTGTTGTCCCATTTCTAACCTACCCTTCCCTGCCAAAGCTCTGGGACATGTTTCACTCACTAGCTAGCTTCATTCACACACTCCCTCCTCGAGCCCTCCAGTCTGGTTTCCACCCTCCCCCACAGCGCAGTGATGGCGCTTGTCAAATTCACAAACGATGTCCTCTCTTTTTGTGACCAGACCAAACATCCACAGACATGGGGTAAACTTCCACATGTATGGGTATGACACACAAATCTACTTTGCCTCCTCCAGCTGCGACTCCAGGTCCGCCGAAGCTCTCTCTGTTGTCTGGCAGACATCAGGGCCTGGATAAGTGCAAACTTCCTGCAGCTCAATGTTAACAAGATGAAGCTATACTCCTTGGCTCTCGTCAATGTCTTCTGTCCTGAGGCTCTGACCTCCTCAACCTCTCCCCGGTCTATACCTCAGACTCACTGAACCAGTACTCAACCTAGGTGTCAGGTTCGATCCACAGCCTACCACACATCTGGTCCCTAACCATGACCGCCTTGCTCTATCTCCAACATATTGCCTGCCTCCGAGTGTACACTCGTCTATGCATCATCACCTCCTGACTGGACTCCTCAAATGCCTTCTTTGCCGGACTTCCCATCTCCACCATGCACAGGATCAAACTGATCCAAAACTCCACCACCCACATACTCATGGTCATGTGGGGTAGAAAGGATAGTTGAGGGTCAAACAAGATGCCAAGGTGCCAGACTGGCTCAGTGAGGTGGAGTGTGCAACCATGGATGGTGTGAAGTCCTGTAGCTCAGTGGTTAGAGCGAGAGACCTGGGTACTATTCCTGGCAGAGTGAAATGTTGGGCAAGTTTCCTTATTCCAAACACCTCTGTTTACCTTGCAGTAAGTAGGAACCTGGTTGTTAGTCGGTTGGCAGATCGCTTTTCCGGGGATAATAATCCCTCAAGAAAAAAACCCAATAATAATTTAGTTATTCAATCCGCGACTGTTTGTGGGACACTGCTGTGCGCAATTGGCTGCCACATTTTGCCCACAAATATAAAGTCAATTCACTTTACAATATTTTCTGTGAAGCGCTTTGAGACGTCTCGAAGATGCAAGGATTGTCATTGCCTGAGATCTGGACGCACTGATGGGAGCCAATCAGGAGAGCCTCGGTCTTGTTGACATTCAACTGGAGAAAGTTAGCTCTCATCTAGGATTTGATGTCTGACAGACAATCGGTCAGGACAGCAGTGGTCCACTATGCAGTCGAGGGTGGAAGCAGAGAGATAGAGTTGTGTATCATCCCATTCCTCTTTGGCATCGAAGATCGCCCCCATGCCAAAGAGGAGAGAACCAAGGACAGAGCCATGAAGAGCATCCCATGTGATGGTGCGAGGGCTGGAGGAGAAGCCGTTAGCGGATACATAGTGGAGACTATGGGAAAGGTAAGAGTGAAAGCAGACAAGGGCAGAGGCATGAAGCCGGAACTGAGAGGAGAGGCGGTGCAGAAGAATAATGTGGTCAAGTGTGTCAAAGACAGCAGAGATATCGAAATGGA